AATAAATAAAACACAATCATGATATTTTTATGTTGCACTACCATTTATTTATGTGCGTTAAGTCTATTCACATGTTGATTGCTGTATAGTTGTGAATGAAATCCCAAATTGAAGAAATAGAGCGGAAGTAAGGGGATTATATATATGTGGAAATTTATAAATTTTTTTTTATAAGGATAATGATTAATAGATTAGTATTGTTAGATATTAGCAACTGAGGATTTGATTCTCAAACCGAGTGAACAGCTCACCTACCGCAATGAGACGCGCAACCATTAGGCCGCTTGGTGGAGTTAAGAAATTTATAAATTTAATAGCTAATCTTTTAAGTTTTTATATGGTGTTTTTACATATTAAATCTTAACTCATGTGTGCCCTTGATTGGATGTCTTTCATGTGTTCTTATTGGTCCAAGGTGTCTCTCAAATAGTGGTATTAAAGTCGATACTAATCAGACTTGGGTCAAGTCTAACAAAGTGAGTGTTTATAGGCTTCCATGGGAGCTCCACATTTTTCATACCATGGTAGAGTGGTGTATCCCATTAATTTAAGCCTTTGGATCATGGAAGAGTAAAAGAGACTATTGAGTTCAGCATTGTAGTATTACACTCAACAAAAGTGGATCTATCACCACTCACATATGAATGAAAAGATTGTTGAGTTTATTTACATGATAGGTAATGATAAATTTATAAACGAAGTTTTACATTTAAAATTTTATATATGAAATCTCACATAAGAGAAATACAGTAAAAGTAAATTATATAAACGAAGATTTATAAACTTAATAAATTAAATTTTTAGATTTTAAATTTTTTTTTTTTTTTTAACTTATTAAGTCCTTACTCGTTTGTTTGTGCTCCGATGCGCCTTTCATGTGTTGTTACCCACCCTAGTTGTCTCCCCAACAATGGGACTATAAAAATGGCCCCAATCAAGAAAAGAGAAAATATTGCAACAGGTACAACAGACCATCACACCAATATTTAATTCACCAAATTGTTGCCTCCACTATATAAATCAATTAAAGTTATTAACTTTGTAATTATTTTTATTTTTTTTTATTATTTTTTTAACAAAGAAAATTTTGAGAAAAGAAAGAAATATTACAATTAAAATTTTTTAAAGGCATCAATCCGCCTGAAACTGTTGGTGCTAAGTTTGTAATTATTTGAATTATGGTGGAAATATAATTTTAAATTCTTTTATCATTATTTGAAAGTAAACGACATATTATTTCAACAGATTACATCAATTCTTACGTTTAAGGCTCGTTTGGTCAGCTACTTTTTTAGAAAAAAAAAAAAAAGAGGAAAAGCCAATTAAACTGACAAATGATTCAATTTAAGAAATTTAATTTTTAATATGTAA